AACAGGTTAAATCCATATATTATTAGGAAGTTTACAGAATTTTATAGGGTATAAAAACATCAATGTGTATGTGGGATCAATAAAGGGGAAATAAAAAAAAGGGGCGACCTAATACTAATAACGACTTAATGAAATGGGTTGAATGAAACAATGTTCTAAAGGGGGTTAATAAAAAGGGGATTGAATGGGTTTGAAAATGGGTTGGAATGAAAATCACAGAGGGGCATTAGAAGTATGTTTTGGGATCATCATTGTTCATCATGCGAGAAAGCAGTGATTGAATCGACCCGAATGTTTGCAGGGATATACTTCCGTGGTGACAGGAAAGTGATTTGGTATGGACAGGATTGTACAATATTCACACTTATAACCAAGGATAATTTATTGGGTTGCTCGCTTGACCATCTAAAAATGCAAAATTAATGGTCAACTACATGTAATTCAATATTAAACACCAGTGACTTCCACCAATCCTACCTCTTTAGCCCACCGAGTAACTTCTCTTGTCCCAGCAGGTAAATTACGATTACTTCTACCCTCCCTTAACACCTGTGTAACACAATCATACTGGAACCATTGCTTAATCTGACCATTTGGGAATGCCTCTGCCAAATCACTGATAATAATAAAAAAAAGCCAACTTAGATTTATATTCACAAAGAGAAATTTTTTGAATTAGTAAATCACAAACCCAATTAGGCCAATCATGCTTCGAATGATAATTTCAGTCTTTTCCTGATCATTCCAGGTCATATTCATGAAATTGAATATTTGATCAATATATCGCATAAGTAAATCAGCTATAAACGACAAAAATTCGGTCAGTAGAAAGCATATTATACACATTAATATTTTTATACGCTGACCTTTTTCTCCAGTTTTTAGACCCTGTACAATGCCAACATATGCCTCCAGTATACCTTCTCTTAATGCAATGACGTAATCTATCATGTCATAATTAGTCTATAAAAAGAATAAAGTTAATTAAATAAACTCAATGAGTTAATTAATGAATTTATTCTTGATTACCATCATATTTACACCATCGGTAGCACGCATATTACTGGCTTGCGCGAGCACCAGCATTACTATTTCCAAGTATACTTCGAATCTACCACTTATTGCGAGAGCAATATCACCGAAGCACGAAAGAATTGCGGGTTTGACATTCCTATTCAACACGGGGCTCTGTGATTCAAGATAAATGAAGTCCTTATTTGTATAAACGAAAAATCACTTAATAAATGTAATAATTTTGCTACTAACCTGAAGATTTTGCAACAGGACATTCATAAAAGTATCGCAGTACGGTAACGATTGTTCTCCGAGCGCGCGACATATATATCTCCAATAAGGCCAACGGCAATTGAACAAAGCTGGTATTCTTCATGGTTTGATAGCGCACCATAAAGGAATGGCGCAAACGCTTCAAGATATCTAAGAAAGTCTCCTTCCACAGCTGCAATTAAAAAAAGGTATAATGATTAATAAATATGAAAAAATTTGTGAATAAAAATGCGAATAATTACCTGTGGTAATAGCTCCAACAGCAAGAAACCCATCCTCCAACGTGGTAGAATGTTTTGTAGCAGTTTGAAACAATGACAACAATGTTGTCATTATTCGGTCTGCAAGTGGTACTACTTCGGTCTTGAGCTTACGAATAATACTCTATTAAAAAAAAAAAAAATCAGATAAAAATAGAATAAACAGATACCAAAATAAATGACAAAGTCTCATTCTGCCTCAACATACCGTTAAAACACTGCATAAATTTGACTGAAGCTCAGAATGTGCAAGACGCTCATCACTACCAACTATTTGATTCTATAATAAAGAAATGACATTAACGCTCTCTAAAATTTAAATGACAATATATAATATTCTGTATTACCTGCGCGGAAATTGTAGCGTCAAGTCTATCAAGTATAGTAAATGTCAATTTTTGAATAGTTTGAAAACAATCCTACAAATACAAAAGTTTGAATTAGTGTATAAAAAATTGTTTAAACATTAAAAGAATTTATGAAATGTTGTTGTCGCCGAGTAAAAAACAAAAATGGAAGGTTGTCAACTGAAACTATGTGATTGCTGTAGCAATATTATATATCCTTATTTTTATGAAGAAAAAAAAACTACGGCGCAAAGTGAACACGCAACAACTTTTGTTGTAAATATTTACCAATGCGGCCCCTTGCACCAGAATGGAAATGCACTCATAAGCCGATGTTCGCGAGTTAGATTCATTGGTTGACCTTAATGAAAATAACACGCAAAATCGACAAATTTACAAACACAAAAATAGGATGGATTTATCAGGGAGCGTGTATATAATGGGAATTTAAAATCAAGATATGCAAATATTCTTATAAATACCTCTCTGTAGTTTCCAATAACGCAGTGATAATTCCCTCAAAATAAGCGGATAAATGATATGTAGACTGCGGCGTCTCCTTGCTACCGAATTGATCAGATAAACTCATTAGAGCCTATATTATAAATGTAAATAAGTTTAATTAAATTTGCTATAAATGAACCACTAAAAAATAAACAAAACATCTTACCCAACAACAATTGGACACAATGCGCGGAGAATCTTTTAACCCATAAACCAATGCAGTAATAAGAGGATGAAGGTGAACGTCGGGTTTGATACACTCTATTAAAAGTTCGGAAACACGTCCAAGAGTCCATGCTGTTGTGTCTTTAACTTGGGGAGATGGATCTCTCATCATATCAATCAAAACCGGTAAAGCTTGGTTTACCAAATTTGCAAGTAATTTATGCTCGGGGCCTTCTAAAATTGACCCGAAAGCCATAACAGCTGCCTCGCGGAATCTCCAATCGTTATTACGAATATGATTTTCTACAAAAGGAATCACTGGTGCGACAACAGCATCTTCAACGCATTGAGCTAGGAGAGCCAGGCAAGTACCCGCAGCCATTGAAACGTTCCAATCATCTTCGTCAGCCTCCTCTTCCTATGCAAGGATTAAACAGATTATTTAGACATCTCAAAATAAATGTTTAAAAAAAAATCATACAAATATAAACATATACTTGTTTTGTGAGAAGCCATAATAAAACGGGTAATATTTCAGGCAAGGCCGCTTTGGCAAAATTATGGCTTAAACGTTCAGGCTGTTCACCTGTTTCCTGCGCCTATTATTACATTCGAATGTCATTCTTTTTTTTTTTTTTTTCATAACAACAAAAGTCAATAGCGTCTATGTACCTCCGCAGCCTCTCCCATTAATTCAAGTTCTTCATCACATACTGTTGACCAAAATTCGACAGCTTGCAAAGCTACTCTTTCATCTTCATGCTTCATTCCAAGGACAGTCAACTGTAGTAACGAATAATATAATAATAGTGATCAATAGTGAGTGAATTTAGATTGACATAATTGTATAAAAATAAATCAAATATTTGCTAGTACGCTTACACCAAATAATGCCTTCTCCATGTAAAAACGCATTTTATCATAATAAATTTGCATAATTCTGACCAAACATTCAAAGGCAGCAACCTGAACATTGACATCGGCACTTTGTGTGGCTTCGCACACGACTTGCATAATATAATTACGTTCACCCTTAAAAATACATCAATTAACAAATTAAATTCATCATAATAAACTTGTACTAAAATTGTGCAAATGAAAAATGGTTTAGTCACCTCTCGATCAAAATTCTCCCTGATGAACTCTAACGAGTTATATAGTGCATCAATTGCTGCTTTTCTAACTTCCTGACTTTATATTAGAATCGAAGTTCAATTGTTAATTGAGCCTACAAGTTAGGACAAATTCACATAATAATATACGCACTTGGGCTCTTCCTTTCTGGCGCCTGATACAACTGCAGTTAGGATTGCCCCTGATTGGGCTGCCAGGATATCAGAATCCTTTTAATAAAAGGAACATAAGATCGATTGATCTAAACAAGTTACAATAAACTCAACATACAAATAAATCAACTTACGATCGATTCACAAACAAAGCCAATTGCTGTTAATGTTGCTATCTTGAGTTGACTATTGTCGGTAGTAGTGACGTTCTCCAACAGAGTTTTCATTAAATCAGTCCATTGTCCGCTTGGAAGTTCAATGGCTGCAATTGCTGAAACAACCTAAAATGCAACTGCTTTATAAGTAAGTACATAAAACAAAAAGACAGGATTTGAAAATTGCTTACTTGGGCAGCGGTAGCAGCAGCTCTTTGGTCGTTTGACCCCAGTGTTGCCAGCACCTGTCAATTCCAATATTCATACTGTTTTAGTATCGCGAATTTATTCGTTGCACGAATAAATCAACAGCAAAAAATGATCGTCATCATCACCGCTTGCTTAATTTGCTGTCTTGTTGCCTCATCCATATTTAACCATCTCTGTGTAATTTCATTTCTTCGAGAAGCTTCCTACAATTATTATCAAATTTAACCCGATATTAAACCATAACAAACTATAAGCGTTATAGATAAAACTAATACCTACCGATGACACTAACGAGTTCTTTAGGGCTAGCCCGGCTGAATTCCGAATAAATGTTTCAGTCTGCTCGTTGGAGAGCTCCTGACAAAGCATCACTACATATGCAGGCTTATTGATAAAAAAAAATAATAAATTTTATAAAATACACTATTAACTAGTGATCAAATTCCTTTTGCGGTAAGTAGTTGACGCGTTAAAGCCTCTTCCCGAGTAACATGCACCGATAACACAAAAAATAAATTTAAAAATTTACATAATTTGTTTGTTGCGCTTGCTCAAGTTGTCTGGATGCATCTTCTCGAGTTTGCTGATCTATAAAACCGACCAAGATGTTGCAAAAAGCGTGTTAGTAAAAACCTAAAGTTTGAGACTAGATGCTAAGCCGCAGTTTGCTGCGAGTTAAATCAGCTTGAAAGGTGACGTGCTACAAGGTTCCTACTGCAGAAAATTACCGCCAGAAAGTGTGTTTGCAAGAAGTTCCCCAATGCTGAGCATCGTGATGAATGGCTGTTAATGAGTACAAATCAAAGAACGTTTTTTACGCTTGTGATTATTCGATTATCCGCTATATCAGTCGCGTGATATACAAATCTAGCCAATTAAATTAAGCCGTTTATTAAGATATTAGGTCGACGCCCGCATAAAGAGTTGCATTGACCAGAAGAGCTCACCTTTAATACTGTAATACGTATTCAATAATTATTTTATCCGGAGCGAAGCGGAGGATCTTATATCTCCAAGAAATTGATCGACATGTTTTTTTTTGCCCGTCAGACAACTGACATTGATCGACCAATAAAATATTCTAGGTTTACACGTAATGGTTTTTTTCCGAGGGTGATATCTCTTTTTAAGACCAATCAGTATCAAAAAAATTATCTATATTTTTATACTGTAGCACTATAGCGCCATAGTGCTACCCTGTATGTAATCTTTTTTTTAATGACGGAGATGAGTAATATTTTACTATAACTGATAAATAATACGTATTTTATACAACTAATTACAAAGTACGACTAGCTATATACGTATACGTATATATATATATATATCATTTATTTAAAGGCTTTGTTTAAATTATTATTTTATATTTTATATATTATAAATTTTACTAATTTACAGTATATGGACGGAGTGCTACAGAAAAGAGGGAAATCGACAAATTTTCAAAAATTTTTTTTCACACAAATCAATTTAGAATAAGATTAGGTTCATTTTTTTCAAAATATATATAGCTCTTTAAAG